GGGGGGGGGGGGGGGGGGAGTTCGTAGAGATAGCAATGAACTATTATCTCAAAGCCACCGAGAGATTATTTTTGTTTTTGCTAAAAGCAGCGGCTGTTGTATTAACAAACTCAGAATATGAGTGTACCTTAAAATAGTTGGTCTGTAAAATCATTTTCCTAGGAAACCTCTTAAATTTTAACTTACATTGATATGGAACTACCACGTACATATCTATAAAGTTAGAAAACGACTGATTGATCGGAAGCTCAAATAAATATTTGAAAGTTGACTTTTAGGAAAGATCCCTTTAATATCACCACTGAAAATCCGGTACTGTACGGACCAGTCACTTCAAGTCGCGTCAGTTTGCATAATCGTTCATCTAATTATCTCTGAAGAAACTAGCATGAAAACGGAAATATTTGTCGCGGTGAGACGACATTTGACGCTGAACGTAATATAATCGACGTAGTTCGCGCGAGAAGTGTCATTCGAAAGAGCTTACTCAATAACGAAAAGCATCGCGGAGATACAGTTCCACAATTAATCATGCATAATTCGACACGTGTCGATAGCAGCGAATGACTGACAGGTCCCTAGGGGTCGATAAAGAAACTGCTTATCGCGCTCAAGGTAGATTCACGGGCGGGAAAAGCACGTGCTGATTCAGCCGGATTATTTTTAATCACGATTCCGACTCAGGATCGCGTATGCTACGTTTATTTCGCGTGCGTCGAAAGCAAACGGCACGAAATCCAAAGTGATTGAAAAAGTTCAAAACTTACGCTATAAAATGTGATTGTCGAATAAATTACTTACCGCTGATTTGTCACTTTAATTTTCACTGAAGAATGAAGTTCAACGATACTTCAGCACAACGAAGAATCAAACGACGCTGATGACACAATCGAACGCGCCTGCAAACAGAAACTTCAGCCACTTCAGCTCCAATCTGTACACAGTAGATGAAATTTATACAGCGTCCGACATGGTTTAATTCTTTACAGCCGAGAAACACGGATGTGTGTCGCTTTACCATACCTATGTCAGCTTTGGCGCTTTTTCTCCACAAACGAGCGAGGGGAGTGACAATCGTTCAAATCTGATTGCGAGATCAACACGTTGCTTCTGACTCGCACGCAGGAATTTCGCGCACATGAAATCTCGCATGCAAAACATTTCAAACAGCGCGGCCGAGTTGTTAGTTCGTATTAGTGACAACGGCTCGCTCTCTGATGATTTATTTGGCCCAGTCTCAGGTACAATTTTTCCTGCGCGATGCGCCGGAGAATACGCACGCCGACAGCAGCGTCCGTTACTTGAAATGATTCGCGGATTATTATTTTTCTTTTCGCAAGAGTCACGTTAGAGATCGATTCATGCCGACTGTTCGAAGGAACATCGATTTTATTAGCTCCTGCTGTTTTAATCTTACGTAATAATATATCCGTCTTCGTTAAATGCGACTTGAAATTTACAATTCGACCTTCTAACTATTTGTCAGGTCGAGAAAGAATTCCGTGATTTCAATCGCGAATGTAAAACCGCCACTGAAACATACTCCATCCGGGGCACATTTTCCATATATATATATTACATCGGAGTATAAAAAAATACCTTCATATTTATAAAAATATAATTTTTCCGCGTGATTCTTCTCGTAATCGAGGAGCGCAATTCCGACCAATCGCAGCGGTGAGATGCGTGCGCTTGAACGACGCGCGCCACGTGTGGAGACGGCAGAAAACGAAAAATAATGAAGTCACTTCGGAAGTGCGCTCTTTGATTATCCTCGTGAAACGACCGGATCCTTCCTCATAAATACGCGGTGTCTCCGGCCAACCGCATTTCCTTGGACAAACGGAAATCCTCACGCGCGAATGCGCGATTGTCGGCGCACGATTTTGACAACTCGTCGAAATCTTAGTTATACAATGGCGTTAGATCTCGAGAATTCTTCGAATCTAGCAGATCGATTTCACGATCGTTGACTCTAAACGTCGGCACACGGTTTTGTCGTACAAGACTAACTTTTGCGTTCTTTATCCTTGTACAAAGTTTCATCCGATCCCGTATCGTTTCAATCGACGTTCCGCGGTCTACGTACGAACGATCCCGCGAACGGAGACGCGATTCTAGTCGGAGGCACCTTGTATCTCGAATCGAAACATCAGCATGTGACGTGTACATGCAATACGTAACGCTGAAAGCACGAGATCGCTCCGCGCGTTGCGTCAATGGTATCACGTGCTTCTTGGCATTGTCGATAAACTATCATGGGTTGCTCTATCGCGCTACCAGAGATATATTAAATCGTACTTACTACGTAATAAACCTGTATGTACAAAGCAATCGTAAACGAACTTCTCACGAAGGAGAAAAACAGAAAGCGACGATATTTAGCGCTGTGTGTGCGGCGAACATACGGGCCGTCGAATTGAATAATTGCGACTTGCAAGTTCGCGCGAGTTAGTTAGCGATGCATTTGAAAGAAAACAGAAAGGGAATGCGAACGCACGTGTTTCCTTTTCTATTTTTTTTTTCTTCCTAACACTTTGCGGCCCGCCGACGATCGTGATGTCGCGATGTGAGAATATTAATATTAACGATATATACATTCATCTATGATTGAAGGATATGTGGGGAAATAAAACGTATTTAGTGATGTTGAAAAAATTGTGAGCATCCGGAAGAAGTCACGCAAGGTAATGAATATAATTATGCACGAGATAATTAAAGTACATGAAAGCACAAGAATTAAAATTAATCGAGAGAAATTAATTAAATTAATTAAGAGAACCACTCCGATAGAGATTTTTCATTAGACGATTATATTATTGCGCCTTCAAGAGGTACACCAAATTTCTTACAGTTAATTATAACAGATAATATTCAAGATAAACTCTACAATATATATTATTCATGTGGAAATCTCAAAAAGGAATATTTATAGTCTCAATATGCCGACATCCGACTTTTTTCAGTTAGCAAAAAACTATTATCTTAGACAGTCTGAAACAAATAAAAACAAATGCAAAAATTATGTTTTATTATATTCATTAGTAAAATGAATTTTACGATCAAAAAGGCTCTAATGTACTTTAATAAGTCTTTTTATATCGGTATTTATTCCCGGTTGGAGAAGCGCGGCCAAGTCATGAATCATCAGGCTCGGTTTGCTCGAGTCAGAGAGCGCGACAGCTACATACGGAGCGCAAAGTGTGTCAGTCTTGCAAATGCATGCTTCTTTCTCGAGTTTCGAATTCGTCCGAATAAAGCAGAAGTGTAGAAACTTCTCGGGCGGTTATATGTCAACGGGGAGGAGGATGAGAAGGGATTCGAGGGAAATGTTTGAGTCAATTCCCGAGACGAGTCAACGATCTGTAAGCGCGAGACTTCTCCTTCAGTCACTTATACGCCTATTCTCCGCGGAGTCACTGTCGTAAAGTCGTTTCGCAATAAAGCGATACCCGTCGCCGCGTATCTCCGCCGCTGTAAAGAAATAAAGCGAGCTTTGCGTACATCGTAAAGGCGCGTCACGGCGGTTAACGGAGATCTCTTTATTGTACGCGAATCAGTTGCAATAAACAGGCGAATTACCGAGAGTCGGTGCAAATCCCATCGCCTTTTGTGTCGCACCGGGTTCGAAGAACGTCACAGCGTATCTTGCATCGTGCAACTATTGTTATCAGCGCGATCGATACGCGCGTTTGTCGACGACGGAACTCTTCTTCGCCGCCGCCGCCGCTCTGTGTATTCTAATAATTACTCCGTCGCGTTTCGACGATAATTAGACTGCGAGTATCTCCGGCGGAATTTGAACCTTTCCGAGAAAATTGCTCCAATTAATGGACCGCAACATCGAGAATAAGTTCACCTTAACCCGAATACCGCGGTGTAACTTAACAAATCGTCTTGCTCGTTGAATTTCGTCGTCGTAATCTTGCAATCGCACACAGAAAAATATCGCTACGCCGCCGAGGAAAGCGATTATTCAGGTTTACCTTCCTCCTTTCGTGAGTTATCTCCAACGAAGAATATTTGTTCAATAACTGTCTTAAAATATCGCTCATCGCAAATTTGAGAAAAGCTCCGATATTTTTTAGGCTTCAGCGGAAAAGCGACGGGAAATGTTCGTAATCACGTACTCGAAAGAAGAATTTATTCTTTTCACAAGAATATTATAAAACTTGATCGAATGAAAGTTAGATTAAATTATTTCAAACAAACAACTCGATTTCTGTTTTAGCTCAATATTCTTGATTGTAGTACTAAACTCACCAGGATTCAGAATATATTTTGAATAAATTTGATGCGATGTGATATATTTGCTGATGTACAAAATACTTATGAAATCATTGAAACGAGCAACATTTGCTTGTACGCAGCGTGTATTCTTCTGTGTGCAGGTGGTACGGTGGCCACGATATAAAAAAAAAATCACGCGCGTTTCTCATCTCCTTCAAAGTCGGGTCAAACTTTAGAAGATCTCATCACGCTCGTCACAATGACGATGGAATATATTGAAATCCGCTCAGATCCTTCGCTTTCTTGCCTGCATCTTCGCGTTATTCGTCGTCGACGGATCTTAATCTACAATTCGGTGGTGGCGACGCCCCAATACTGTTGCATCCTCGTGGCGTCTTGCTCCAACGAGTCCATGCCGCTTCTCTCTTGAATGACGGCGAAGTCGTATTCCAGATTGTACGGCATCAGCCTCTGGAGGCTGCCGAAGTACGCGGCGTTCGGTCCGCCGTTCAACAATCTCCGTCCGCTGCCGAAGCGAACGACCGGCGGCCGCGGCAGCGAGGGATTGAAAGACCTCGCGCTGCCGAACCTTTTCGACAAGAACGGCAAATTGCTACCTAATTGAGGCGTTGACCTCGACTGGCCCCGATGCAACGGCGCTTTTGTCAGTGTGTCCAGTTCTTTGTCGAACAACAGTTGGGTGTTTTGCTCGAGCATGTACTCCCAACAGCGGAACTGCTCCTCGCTGAGAGCACCGGACCTCTCCGACACGGCGTCCTCCTGTGCCGGCAGGCAGGCCGTTACCTGAGAGATAAAGACACAGTAAGGGCATCGTGTTCCGCTTTAGCGTTGTGGAAGTTTTTTAGTTCTTCTCGGCTAAACTAAATTTAAGAGGCTACGGAGTCAGAGCGTGAAATCAAGACAAAATGAATCCCCACCAAGTACCGATTTTTAACAAACATCAACATTCTTTGATGAGTTACCTTTACCGAAAAAATCACCATTGAATTAAAATTATGCTCACTATAAAAGTATCAACTCTTGAACCCTTCAAAAAAAAAAAAAAAATGCGTGGAAATATGATCTTACTTTCCGTGTGCCGTTCTCCTGCATGAGAACGCTCTGGTGCGCCTTGCTCGTCGCTCGGGAAGCCGCACTTGCGGACCACATCCTTCCCGACGGGTGACGAGACTTGAACGTGCTGTCGCTGGCTTGGTCGGATTGTCCACTCGGTGAGCTGCGATCGTCTCTATACGGGGGGCTTTCGTTCTCCTGTGCCGGTCTCGGATTCTTGAAGTATCTCCCGGAACCACCGTGAACTTTGTTAGACCTGCGAGATGTGTCGTACAAGAGGAATCAATTTTAATCATGTCTTGAATATTATCAAGAAATTACGTTACCATAATTACATGATAGTTATAATTAAGGCTCCTCTTTTTTACACCACTTAATGAAACTAGAAGAGAAAACGTAAAATCGCCCGAAACTTGTGCGAAATATAAGGATAAATAATTGGAAACTGATTGAAATAAATGGATATGTTTATAAAATAATACTTCCCAGATAGTACAGCGATGAATAGACATTTATAAGAAATTAATTTTAAAGAATATCGACAGAAAAATGAACATCTGGAGAATTTTGGAAGAATTAACCATAATCAATTTCGTATTGGAATATTTCTCAAAAGTTTCAATCATAATTACATTGTGGAATAGTTCATCAAATATTTCATTTGAATTTCGGAATGTTCCAAATATCGACTGACTTATTCGTCACACACGCACACCATAGATTTTATTTTTTTTTACCTGCTCACTATATTCTTTAATACGCCATTAAGATAATAGCCTTCGCTCGCGTGACAGCAGCAGGCTCCGGGCGGCTTATGCGCCGCTGGCGGCACGCAACAAGGACAAGGACACACGCCATCTGTCTGACCTCGGTTCTTGCCAACGGCGTGCCTGAGTTCTCGCATGAGCTGGTCCATGTCGCCCGGGCTCGGCCCGGCCAACCTGACGACGACAATGCTAAGATTGTCCTCCGCACCGTAAGCCTGTGCTAAGTCCTGAAGCCTCTTGGCCGCAAGGACAGGACTAGCCTCGGCTCTGGCTTCCCTTACAGCCTCTTGGACGCTCAGAACTTCCCACAGCCTTCGATTCGCGATTATGACGAACTCGTCGTCGTCTTCGAGAGTTACCTCCTCGAACGTCGGGTCAGGAACTACCAGCGGGAACATGGCGGCGTTGCCTAGTTGATTCTTCACCGACTGAGATTTCTTAGGTGAGGCGAGTGTCAAGGGACCAGCGGCTCTGCACAGGATAGCCTTGGCGTCCCCGGAGGAAGCCACTTTCAGGGAGTACCTGGCCGAGGATTTCGGATATCCCGCCTGCGCCGGTAACTTCATCACATGAACCAGAGTCGCGTCTATACCGTACTTTTGGCCCTTTTCCTTCAACTCTCTGTGCGCTGACAGCAAAGTATACTTCAGGTACTCTTTGGAGGTCTCCCTGACGGTGCGTTCCTCCAGCAGGAGACGGGGGATCATTTCTTGAAGAGCACCGGGCGCTTCCTGATTGGAACCGCCGTCGAATATGCCGAACAAGCCCTCGACGTTGCAGAAAGACGGCATTCTCACTTGGGAGATGTACAGCCTGCGGCGAATAAAGAAGAAAAGGAAACGTGAGAGGGATCTTTTGGAAACGGACGGGTGATCATTAACTTTGAAATGAGCTTAGAATGATTTAGAAGTGGCGCATCATGTGTACTATTAGGACTCAACTGTTCTTCAGGAAAGGAGTTCTTTATACTTTTTGATCGTCTATTCATCTATTTTTAGCAGAAACACCGATTGTATCCTTACTTTTCGCGCGAGCCGGCAGTTTCCGAAAAGCCTAATCGCCACGGTTGGTCGCCATTCTTTTCCGCCGCGACGATCTCCTGCTGATGCGGGTGAGAGGGTAGACTAGGCCTGTTTTGTCCAGACACATCGACCAAAGATATCGGCCTCTGTGACCTGTACACTTGGAACTGTCGGGGGTCCACGTGCAATCGCGAGTTACAAGATATGTCGAGGAACTGAAGCTGCGCTGGCACCAACGTAGCCAGGTTTACTCTGTCCAATTGGTTGTGCGCTAAATCTAACACCTAGGGAAGACAAATATTTATTGATACATATTGACTTTACATATCGCCGATTCAACAAAATTAATTATGCACATCAATCGCAAACTTGGTAATTTATACACATAATAAAATAATTATATGCAATTTTTAAAACTTCGTTGCTGCTTTTAATTATACGTGCTTTATTTTTTCTATAATTTAAATAATCTAATAAATTTAATGTATATATATATATATATATATATATATATATATATATATA